CTGTTGTCCGATCCGCGCGGCCATAGGCGGTTGCAAGGTGCGCCGATGGCCGTGCGTTTCACTCGGTGGCGGTGGACAGACCCTGTCGGCCGCTAGCTGGTGCCCAGGAGGGGGAAGAGGAGGAGGAGGAGGAGGAGGAGGAGGAGAAGGAGGAGCAGGAGCAGGAGCAGGAGGAAGAGGGGGAGGGAGGAGAAGGGAGGTGGAGAAGGTGGAGAAGATAGAGTGGCGCCCGCTCACGGGGCAGAGGGGAGGAGGTGATGGATGTTTCTCGCGTGAGCGGGGGAACAGAAACGGGTCTTACGCAAGACGACCTAGCGACCTTACGCGGTGGCTCACGCGGGCAGCCACCGCGGCACGCTACAATGGAAACGAGGGCGCTTACGCGCGACCTTTCCGGGAAGCTTTCGCTACGCGCGAGTGTCGGCGAAATGAACCCCGCTTTCTTCCGTCACTCATGTGCCGCTCGCCCTGGTGCCCTGCGATTCGTCTTCCCCGGCAGGGGAGGGGGACGGCCGAACCGTGCGAAGGAGGGAGGAGGAGCAGGAGGAGGCTGGATGGATGGATGAGGGAGTGGGTGTTGGGTCCTCGGTTTGAACCACCTGTGGTGTTGGGTCCTCGGTTTGAAGAGACAGCGCCCAGCGTCTCCTCCTTCCTTCCTCATCCCCCTTCCCCCCTCCTCCCCCTGAGGGGGCCCGTTCCGCGGCATCGCGACTTGGGGAGGGCTCGGGATTAGCGCTTGCGCTTGATGTGTACACATACTGTGATCGATACACAGAGATATACACATGTATGTATGTATGCATGCATGCATGCATGCATGTATGTATGCATGTATGTGTGTATGAATGTATATCTGTCTGTCTGTCTGTCTGTCTGTCTGTCTGTCTGTCTGTCTGTCTGTCTGTCTGTCTGTCTGTCTGTCTGTGTCTGTCTTTGTATGTCTGCATGTATGCATGTATGTGTTTGCACATATGTGTATGTAGATGCATAAACGCGGAATCGCCGCCAGCTCGGAAACGGGAGTTGCGATAATGTCTGAAGCGAAGCGGCCCAGAACACCTGATGTTGGTTGAACATGTCCCTGTGCGCCGCTCCCTCGGCCAAACGGGAATTCAATGAAAGCAGGAGCCCTGTCCTGTCACAACAACTGTTCGTTCGGGGAACCAACGACCCCGAAAACAACCCGGACATCGCATGCGCCCCCACTGGAGCCCCACACAACCTCAGGACAAGGCCTCTTGGAGGTCCTCGCGGAGCGACCTTGGGCCCTCTCGGGGGCCTCTTGGGCCGATCATGGGGCCATCTTGGGCGGCTTAAAGCGCTCTTGAGCCGTCTGGGCGGCTTCTTGCCGTCCCCAGAAGCCTGGGTGGACGACTCGGGGAAGCGAGAAGAGTTCTGGGACTCCGAAAACGGGCCCCTGGATGCCAAGAAAGGCCCCTGCACCCCAGGGGGCAAATTCGGTTACAGGGGTGGGGGGGGAGTTTGGGAAAAGTGTGCGACCCTGGGCCACGGGGCCCCGGACGCCGTTTATATATAGTATAATTTATATAAAAAATATACCCACCGAAGACGATATTGTCTTTCGCCAGGCTAGTCCTTTAAACGAATGCGCGCGGCACTAGGACGACAACGCCATTTTGAAAACCACTCGCCCTCAATCCGTGAAGCTCTTGCTATTGTTTGAATAATGCGCCCGGCGCTAAGGCGAGCCACATTTTAGAAGCGACCCGCCCTCAATCTCGAAAACTGCTGTCTGTTTGAAAAAGCATCAGGGTAATACATGGTGAGGAAGTCTCAGGCGAAACGCCCAGCCCGCCCTTTCGACCGGCCTCGGGGTAGGACAGGGAGGAGTTATCTGAAGGAAAACGAATGGAAGAGGAGGAGGGGGAAGAGGAGGAGGAGGAGGAGGAGGAGGAGGAGAAGGAGGAGCAGGAGCAGGAGCAGGAGGAAGAGGGGGAGGGAGGAGAAGGGAGGTGGAGAAGGTGGAGAAGATAGAGTGGCGCCCGCTCACGGGGCAGAGGGGAGGAGGTGATGGATGTTTCTCGCGTGAGCGGGGGAACAGAAACGGGTCTTACGCAAGACGACCTAGCGACCTTACGCGGTGGCTCACGCGGGCAGCCACCGCGGCACGCTACAATGGAAACGAGGGCGCTTACGCGCGACCTTTCCGGGAAGCTTTCGCTACGCGCGAGTGTCGGCGAAATGAACCCCGCTTTCTTCCGTCACTCATGTGCCGCTCGCCCTGGTGCCCTGCGATTCGTCTTCCCCGGCAGGGGAGGGGGACGGCCGAACCGTGCGAAGGAGGGAGGAGGAGCAGGAGGAGGCTGGATGGATGGATGAGGGAGTGGGTGTTGGGTCCTCGGTTTGAACCACCTGTGGTGTTGGGTCCTCGGTTTGAAGAGACAGCGCCCAGCGTCTCCTCCTTCCTTCCTCATCCCCCTTCCCCCCTCCTCCCCCTGAGGGGGCCCGTTCCGCGGCATCGCGACTTGGGGAGGGCTCGGGATTAGCGCTTGCGCTTGATGTGTACACATACTGTGATCGATACACAGAGATATACACATGTATGTATGTATGCATGCATGCATGCATGCATGTATGTATGCATGTATGTGTGTATGAATGTATATCTGTCTGTCTGTCTGTCTGTCTGTCTGTCTGTCTGTCTGTCTGTCTGTCTGTCTGTCTGTCTGTCTGTCTGTCTGTCTTTGTATGTCTGCATGTATGCATGTATGTGTTTGCACATATGTGTATGTAGATGCATAAACGCGGAATCGCCGCCAGCTCGGAAACGGGAGTTGCGATAATGTCTGAAGCGAAGCGGCCCAGAACACCTGATGTTGGTTGAACATGTCCCTGTGCGCCGCTCCCTCGGCCAAACGGGAATGCAATGAAAGCAGGAGCCCTGTCCTGTCACAACAACTGTTCGTTCGGGGAACCAACGACCCCGAAAACAACCCGGACATCGCATGCGCCCCCACTGGAGCCCCACACAACCTCAGGACAAGGCCTCTGGGAGCCAAGAGTTGCAAGCTTTCTCCAGCGTAACAAACCACATAACCTCTCCCGCGGCAGCTCGGATCCCACAATTGCGAGGACGTCTCAGGCGGAACGGCCCGGACCACGTCACAAAAAACAGCTCGGCGAAACAATATGGAGGACATCTCCAACGAGCCCCCCCTTCCAAAGAGAGGGGAAGGGGGGGTAGCTTGCGAAGTCCCCCCCCACCCCCTTGCAAAGGGGAGCCTGGGCTAACCTTCCGCTCCGAAAAGGAGGGGGGGAGGTAGCTTGGAAGTCCCCCCCCCCTTGCGATTCACCCCCCTCTGGCGCGCAAAGGGAGGAGGGGGGGAGCTTCGGAAGCCCCCCCCCTTGAAAAAGGGAGCCCCGGCGTACCACGGGCAGAACAAAGGAAGGGGGGAGGGGGGTAGCTTCGGAGGCACCGCCCCTTTCCGAAGGGAGGGGCGGGGTAGCGTTAAGCTGGGGCCCCCCTTTTCTTATTCCTGGCCCTGCGGGCGCGCTCCTTCGGAGTTAAGAACAGCATGCTCGTGTTGCTTCCGTTTTCTTGCATGGCGACATGAATATCAATAACCCACATGTTTACGTAACATTTAGGACCAAACCATTTAACAAGCAAGAGTGGTGAGCGGGTTTCCTACACCCCAGCCAGTCCATCAGAAGTACTGCTGATTCCAGCTCCTGCCATTTATCTCACCGCGGCTCCGCGAGTCCCATCCCGCCACTCTGCCGATCGATGCCCGCCATCAAGGAAGGTCCGTCGGATGTACGGATGTGTTGCGGAACTGCGCCAATGCACCTAATTACCGTGCTGATGGCCTCCCCAGCAGCGTCGCTCTCGCCAAGGCTCCGCCCCAGCAAAAAAGGCGACAAAGTGGCGGGATAATGCTTGTGATTAGCACGGCAACGACGGTCTCCAAAAATCCACCGCAGGGACCACTGCAAGGGGCGATCAATCAATCTGCCACCCGAACACCCAGACAGGTGAACAGACTTGAGAACTCGGAGACATGCACGACCCCTTCATCTCGAAGAAGGAGCAAAATGGGGGAGGCAGGGAGGGAGGGGGGAAGGGCACGACAGGAGAGGTGGGGGAAACATCACAACCTCACCGTGCAGAACTCGACGTGGTGTCCTCTCCCCGTCGAACGCTTGCAGCGCCCGCTCCAAAAAAATAGACGCGAGTGCCAAGCGCCTGCTCGGGCCCAGGAGGAGGAGGAGGAGGAGGACGAGGAGGAGGAGGGGGAGGGGAGGAGGAGGGAGAGGAGGAGGAGAGGAGGAGGAGAAGCAGGGGAGGAGGAGGGGGAGGAGGAGGCCCAGGGGTTGTAGAAAGAAAAACCTCAAGGGTGCTTCGTGCGGATCGACCGTGCCGCTCGCTGGCCTGCTGCCCGGAGCTGCGCTCCTGCGGCCTCTCGCCAGCGGGGCGCACGGCGCCCCTCCGCCACCCCTCCGCCGACAGCGCGCGCGGCGCTGAAGGGGGCATCTCGCGGAAGCGGAGTGGCCGCCTCTCCTCTCCTCCTCTTCCTCCTCCCCTCCTCCTCTCTCCTCCTGCTCCTCCTCCTCTCCTCTCCTCCTCCTCCTCCTCCTCCTCCCTCCTCCTTCTCCTCCTCCTCCTCTCCCCCTCTCTTCCTCCTCCTCCTCCTCCGCCTCCTCCTCTCCTTCCTCCCTCCTCTCATCTCTGCTCCTTCTCCTCTCCTGATCCTCCTCCTCTCCTCCTCCTCCTCCTCTCCTCCTCCTCCTCCTCCTCCTCCTCCTCCTCCCCCTCCCCCGTAGCCATTTTGGCTCAAGCCCCGCTTGGGCCCTTCGGGGCCCAAACGGGGGTTGAGCCCTGTAGCCTGTCTGGCTCAGTGGCGCCGCCCCACGCGTGGGTCTCCTTCTGGGCGCGCGGCGGGCGGTCGGGTGGGGCACGTCGTTAGCGGTGGCGCGCGACGCAAAATCCGACAGTTTGTGAGTGCCCAGGGGGGCCGTCCTCTTCCCCCCTCGCCTCCATGGGCCTCCCTGGTGGCGGCGGCGCGGCGCTGCTACCCGGCGGGGGCCACCGGCTGGTGGAGCCAGCGGTCAGGGAGGAGTTTGACGTCGGCGGCAAGGGTTCGCTGCCCGATGGCGGCTGCTGGTGCGCGACATGTGGATGTGCGACCTGGAGCCCGTGGCGCGGGCAGCAGCAGCAGCAGATGTGCGTCATCGGCATGGTATTGCACCAATGGGTGGCAAGTGCTGCTACGGCTTCCGAGGGCGCCACCTCGGGGAGCCTTGGCGGCGCGATGGGGGCCCAGCAGGGCCAGGAGCTGCTCCGCCTGCTACGGGGCGCAGGGCAGCCGTGTCAGGACATCGCGCACGACGTTGACGGCAGCGGAGCCGAGCAGTCGGTGGCGCCCGTGGACTGCAGCGTGGTGCACTTGCAGGAGTCGGTCGTGCGCAACACTGGCGGCGCACGTGGTGCGCGGCGCGGGCCCGCTGATCGGCGTCCGAAGGCCGCGGTGGGCAAGGACGTGCCGAAGACGAAGGGCGACGCGGCGGCCCAGAGCCAGATCCAGGAGCAGCTCGTGGAGGCCGTGCGTCCCATCGACATGGAGCGCATGAGCGGCGAGGTCGGCGACGGCTGGCGGCGCATGCAGGGCAGGGGCAAGCGGGCGGGCCGCTGGGAGGCGGCGCAGGAGCTCGCGGCACGCTCGGCAGAGGCGCGGGCCTCGGCCGAGGCCGTGCGGCAGGCGGACGCTGCGCGTGCCGCTGCTGCTGGCGTGGTGCAGCGCTGCTGGCGCGGCTGGCTGGGGCGGCAGGCGGCTGCTGCGGCGCGCGGTGCGCGTGCGGCGCGTGCGGCGGCTGCGCCCTCGCCGCCGCTGGCGGCAGCCCCTGCCATCAAGACGAAGAAGGGCAAGAAGGCCAAGCAGGGCGCGGAGTCGGACGTGATCCTCACCGAGGCCATTCGCGTCGCTGAGCGTGAGGCCGCCGAGCTGGCCAGCGCGGCCCTGGTGGCGTCCTTATAGACGGACATCGTGCCCGTCTTGGACGCGGTCGCGGAGAAGCTCGTGAAGCGCGCGGTGGTGGCCGCTCTCGGCAGGCTCCGTGACGGTGCCCAGCAGGCGCTGGGCCGAGGCAGCTCCACGACCCTGGACGAGCAGGAGTGGGGCACGAGGTTCCTGGACGGCGAGTTCGCCGAGGACAGGGACAAGGCCGTCTGGGTGCAGGTCGTCGCGGGCGCCGAGAATGCCCGTGGTTCCGACAGCGACGACTCTGGCTGAAGGTCGGCGTGGTGAGGGTCGTCGCGTTCGGCCCCGTCGCCCGACCGCGCGCGTCGCGTGGGCTATCGGGCGAGCGGGGGGGGGGCGGCACCGCTCCTTCTGAGACTCGCGGATCCTTCCTCCTCCTCCTCCTCCTCCAGCTCCTCCTCCTCCTCCTCCTCCTCCTCCTCCTCCTCCTCCTGCCTCCTCCTCCTCCTCCTCCTCCTCCTCCTCCTCCTGCTCATCCTCCTGCTCCCCTCCTCCTCCTCCTCCTCCTCCTCCTCCTCCTCCTCCTCCTCCTCCTCCTCCTCCTCTTATTAGTTTTCTTCTTATTATTCTTATTATTATTATTATTATTCTTAGTATTACTATTCTTCTTCTTCGTCTTCTTATTATTCTTCTTATTCTTCTTATTATTACTATTAGTCTTCATATTATTATTAGTATTATTCTTATTCTTCTTATTCTTAACCTTCTTCTTCTTATTAGTATTCTTATTAGTCTTATTATAATTATTATTCTTTTTATTATTATTCTGCTTATTATTCTTTTTATTATTATTATTCGTCTTCTTCTTATTCTTCTTATTCGTCTTTTTCTTCTTCTCATTATTATTATTATTCGTATTATTCTTCTTATGATTATGCTTCTTCTTATTATGTTTCTTATTCTTCTTATTCTTCTTATTATTATTATTGTTATTCTTCTTCTTCTTCTTATTCGTCTTCTTATTCTTCTTATTATTATTATTCTTATTATTCTTCCTCATCTTCCTCTTCCTCTTCCTCCTCCTCCTCCTCCTCCTCCTCCTCCTCCTCCTCCTCCTCCTCCTCCTCCTCCTCCTCCTCCTCCTCCTCCCCCCCCCGCCTCCTCCTCCTCCTCCTCCTCCTCCTCTCCTCCTCCCCTCCTCCTCCTCTCCTCCTCCTCCGCCTCCTCCGCCTCCGCCTCCGCTCCGCCTCCGCCTCCGCCTCCTCCTTCCTCCTCCTCCTCCTCCTCCTCCTCCTCTCCTCCTCCTCCTCCCCCTCCTCCTCCTCCTCCTCCTCCTCCTCCTGTCGATCCTGTCGATCCTTGCGCAGCCAAGCTCCTCCAGGCGAGAAAATTGGGCGGCGGGCGAACGGCGAGCGACGCGAAAAACGAGGCCAGGGCCAGCAGGCGCGCGACCGCACCGCTAGGGCCCCGACCGGTGGAGGGGGAAAGGCCGACCCACGAAGGATTTGGAGGACGGATCCTTCCCCTCCTTCAGCTGCTTTAGGGTCTTCTCCGCTGGCTTGTTAGGAGGCGCGCCAGGGCACGCACCTCCCAATAGGCACAGCTTGACCGACCCAAAAGCAGCGCAAGAAATACAAAAAAAACACGCCCGCCGCTAATCCAGAGCTTATGACTGGAGTGGGCGAGCCTGGCAAGCCTGGGGAGGCCCGAGCACGGCAGTGCGCACACTGACGCCTCTGAAAACCCCATGGCTCCACAGTTCACACAGAGGAAGGCCCCCTTCCCCTTTGAGCCTGTCCTGTGAACAGCATGCCCCTTTAAATCACCGACCAAGACTAATGGGTCATGCTTGGGGCGGGGGGGGCCTTACATTTCTGGACATCTGGGAAATTCTGCTTGCTGAGCATCTCCCCAAAACACGCAATGAACCTACTGAAGGCATCTACCTCCGAGCTTCTCTGTCTCTGGAGGGCACGGAGGCTAGGATTGCAAGGGTGCTCCAGGGCTCCGCGCTTAGCAAGACCATCAGCAATGCCATTGCCGACCCAGGCCCAGTGAGGGGCCTCTGAGGTCTCTAAACACCTGTTCCAAGAAATGTGACTCTTAATTTTGTGCAGGCAGATAATTCCTACGCCTATATCACGAACACGATCCCATACTAGCTCCCAGACCTCCGAGAACGCGACCTCAGACATGTCCGACTCGGGCCCACCGGCCCACACGTCCAAGATGGCCTGGCAATCCGTGTAGATCTGGGTGCCCTGCGAGGGTCCCATGAGCTTGAGGGCCATCAGCAACGCATACAGCTCGCCTGCCCCAGACTCCTGGACAGGATGAGGGAGGGGTCCGAAAGCACTACCCTCGCACCGACTGCTCTGACCCATGGCAACCACAGCCCAACCTGCACGTGCTGCATACAGCGAGTTCGTGTCGAACCCTGAGCCGTCGATGCATATCCTGCTGCCTAGAAACCCTGCTTCTGGCACTTTATCCCACCGCCAGGTCTCGGCTGTGGACACCTTGGGCCAATCGTACCCTGGGTCCGCACAGAGCGCCCTCGTCGATAATAGATCGTAGGCGCCCAGCTGCATACCTCTGTCCACGCACTGCGGCAGGTCTATGTCCCGCCTAAACATAAAGAAACCGTCGCACTGGAATAAGCGGTGCTGAGGCGTGCCGTTATACGTGCCGCAGACCCTGCACAGCGGCGTGATGGCTCGCCTGTCCTGGAATAAAACCTCCTGAGTGGGATGACCTCCTGCGACTACATTACACAAAAAGGCAGCCGCTGAGTTTCTCCCCGCTTTCCTGAGACCCCTGAGGGTGTCCATGATGGGCCCCAGGAGGGGGGGGAACCACACGCTCAGGATCTTCGGGATCAGGGACCCCTACGTGCTCCAGGAGCCTCATGCGTGTACTGTAGTCAATCAACTTAGTGAGGGTGCGCTTCCCGAAGTGGTTGAGATCCAATAGGAAGCCACGGCAAGACTCCCAAGTGTCCCAAGCAATAAACCTCCAGCCCAAACGATCCAGAGTAGCCCATACAGCTCCAGCAGGTCCCCGAACCTTGTCCCAAGTCCTGGAGGCCGCCTTCGGGTAGGCCTGCACGCAGGCCCTCATGATATGCTCGGGGACCCATTTCTGTTTCACAGCTTGTTGCCACATCTTAAGTGGCAGGAGGTTGGCCTGGAACACAGGGTCCAAGCCCTTCGTCGGGCCCAATAAAAACTGCAGGGTCCTGGAACGGCCCCTTCCCTTGCCGAACGAAGCCTGACCTATGATAGAACGCAGCTTCATGACCGTGGAGGTGTTCATGCCAATGACCGCAGTGCCATAAAAAGCTGCTGGCAATCCACCTGTCTTCACGACCTTGCACAAGCCCGAGTAGCCAGAGCGGAGACCCCTAAATCGGCGAACTCGGGGCCCCAAACTCTCCCATCTCGATCCCTGGACTGGAGTTCTGCGCCGACCAGCAGCGTAGTCAACCCCTAGGTTACGAGCTGACTTTACCACTTGGAATCTCCAGCGCATAAGCCGCGTTTTAACTCGAAACTCAATATCCCGAGACGTCGCCGTGATGAGGCCTTTCGTGGGAGAGATCAGGAAACCAAGTTTCTCCAGGTTGCTGCACAGCGCAAAAGTAGCATCGGCCGCCGTACTCGCCACCGCCCTAGCCTTACCTGTAGCACCACACGTAATATCGTCAACAACATTGCATACACGAACCGATGGGAAATTCGATACCACATAGTCTAGCGGGTCGAGAAGGAGGCACTTTAGCAGGGTGGTGGCGAAAGTACAACCCGCCAAGATCGCCTGGACGCAGGCGACAAACTCAGAGCAGACCCTGCCCACCTGCAAGACCCTCTGGCCCCTGTACAAGCAGAGGAGGTAGCGCAGGCGGTGCAAAGGGAAGCCATGCTTGACGGCCGCAGAGGCCAAGAAGAAATGAACCACCTTCTCATAGCACTTGGTCATGTCGACCAAAACGGAAGCAGCCGAGTGCCCAAAAACGTACGCGTGCTCCATCCTAATCGCCTGCTCCCAAACAGCTCTCTCGCACGAACGCCCCCTGCTTCCAAAGCGGCAAGGCCTGTCATGGGCCCGTTCCCAACGATCAGCCTGCACTCGAGAGTATTTCCCAAAGCACCTGACGCACCCGGACAGGATTCCAATAGGCCGAACTCCTCCTTCCTCATCCTTGGGGATCATAGCTATGATAATCGTGGCCAGGGCCTCGGGAAGCTTGCCGAGAGACTCCATCCAAAACCATAGGGCGGCCACACACTCCAGAGCCCCGTCGCTGAGGATCTCGAAATCCTTGGGGCGTGTCCTATCAGCGCCAATCGCCGTCCTAGCCTTGAACATCCTGGAGCACTTTCGGATCTGATCGGGCGTGGCCAAGACCAAGGGCTCCTCTGAGGACTCGGAGATCTTCTCTGTGAGGAGGCCGATGGGATCAGGAAGGTCCTTCACACTGGGCTTGGGGCTCCATATCTTAGCCCATTCGTCCGTGAGGTCGTCGATGCGCCCCATGGGCCCCTTGGGGGGCCCTCCCTTCGGGTTCGAAGGAACCCATCCCAAGGGGACCTTGGTGAACTTGTGGGCCATTCCAGCCCCATTGTCAAGGCTTGTCCTGACCCAATGTCTCCAGGCCTTGCCCCGATCCGATTGAAACTGCTTTTCGAGGCGCTCTGCATGACGCTTGGCCTTGGCGCACAACTGCACGAGGCCACAGAAGTCGAGGCAACACAAGTCCGACTCAGCAACTGCGCACTCTTGCCAAAAAGGGTCGGCACGGAGCGCTGCAGGCCCTTGAAGCACCTGGCAGAAAAGTGATCTGGCATCTGGTCGGTCCAATGGCACTCCTTTCCTGGCGAGATAACTAAACTCCTGAATATGAATCGACCACTTCCTCCAAGCTCTTCCTTTGGCCGAAGATACAGGGTAGGGCCCGCCCGAGACTGGTACTGCTGGATGGATTTTGGTCTTCACTCCTTTGGCCCGACCGCGATACTTGCGCGCATCGCTCTTGCCAATGCCGTGGATACCTATCATCTCATCCTCGAAAAGCTTGCAAAACCAAGCGTAGCCCCTGTCCAGGGCAGCCTGGTCGCCACGCGCCTCGAGCTGCGCTAAACATGCAGACCAATCTGGAGGCGGAGGTCGCGGACCGAGCGGGGCTTCTCGAGGGAACACCTTCGGACCAACAAGGACCCTGGTCTTGAGCTCTCTGGGAGCTCCAGAGAGGTCCAGCGTGACGGGCCAATGTGGGGCGGTGGTACCACGTTTATTGATCGATATAGCGTCGA